AACCTTCCACCTCAGACACCAATATACTGGAAAACAAGTTCTGGATTTAGTGTAATGCAGCAAATTAATTTGTCTGACATTTGCTAACCACAGGGAACGTTATGTCTGCACATACATTAATATTTATTTGGATGAGGGATAAAATGCAGGGGATAAATTAAGTAAATACATCAGACGAACTTCATGAACTGCGGACACCTTTAATGACCTTTTCTGCGATGAACAGCACTCAGTGTTGCTAGGAGATTCTGCCGGCAGAGACTGCCTCCTTCGGCCCCCTCCATTCTGCTCGCTCTTTAGTTTCTCCTCACTTTCCTGGCCCTAAAAACAGGAAATGCCAGAACCTAATGTACCTTCCAAGGCCTGAGCTCCAGCCAATCAGCTCCCCCCCCCCATTCTTCTCCTTTTGCAAAACTCACTTCCTGATTTTCTCACACCTACACCCACACCTGTCCCCCCTCTCTCTCCCCCTCTCACCCCCATCCCTCGTTCTCACATTCCACACTTTAGGTTGTCCGTGACCGCAGAGAAAACTGGCTGCAATACTTTTCCTATGGCTTTGTGCTTCCATTCGCTGAGGGCCCCACCTGAAGGCCATCTCTGTTTATTTATACATCCCTTCCTTCTGTCTCTCTCTCCCTCTCTCTCTCCCCCTCCCTCTCCCTCTCTGTCATCCTTTAAGGACAAATAAAAATAGAGAAAACATCATTCCTATTGACATCGGCAGACTGTTGTTAACTTGGTTTAGCCCACCTTATGTTGGAGTTAATTAAAAAGAAGCGTTGAGCGTGTGACAGCATGAAGCTGAGAGTTTGCAGATTGTGTCTGCTGTGCTCACTGAAAGGCCTAACTAATTACATACATCTGCTTGACTGGATCGTCTGCTGTTTCTGAATGGCATCAGCCCTAACACACGCCCACTCGAGGTGTCCAACCTGCCAGATGTGCTCATCTGATCAAAAAGGTGAGATCAGAACACAGCAGAACACAGGGACTTCCATTTGTTCCTGTTTTTACTGCAAATGTAACATTTTCGTGACCAATGAAATTATCAGCTGCTGTCGGAGCCAATTCTGTAACTTTCTGACACTGTCCACGGGCTCAGTGGGACTCTGATGAGACTTCCCATGATTCACCTCTGCTCCCTCTGCAGCGGTGGGGGTGTGTGTATTTAAAGCAGCGCTGTCAGAGGGGACGAGCATTACCACACCGACATAGACACCCCGCTCTGTTTGATGACAGAGCTCGCCTGTCACAGAGACAACCTCAGAAAGTTCTCTGGCTTCTTTACTGTCAGCCAATCAAACACTTTGAAGTGTGATTATCATGCGCATAAAAATACATTCAGGGTAGGCAAAATAGGCAAAGTATTTAATGTCTGCAAAACATCTCCGCGAATCAGAGCGCTCACGCAAGACTGAGGCCTCATGAGCCCCAAAAACAGAGCTACCAGGTTCTATCAGTGACTCACTGATTCGGCTCAACTGTAGACAGAGAGAAAAGACATGGCTGCTCTTTCTTTTCACCTCTTTCCCTCACATTCAGAATTCAAACAGAGCTTTACTGGCAACCTAATAAACAAACTTCCAAATAACCAACCAACAAAAGAAAAAATTCTGGCAATAAACAAACAGCCATTTAGGATTTAGGATAGGTGTTTTTTAGATGCTAAGAAGGAATAACTGTGTGAAATGCAGGACCTTTTATACAATTATTTTGACTTTCCCTTTCTCCCCTCCCTCCCTATATCTCTCTCCTTCCCTCTCCCTCTTCCCAGGATGAGGAAGAAGACGGAACCCCCAAAAAGAAATGGCCAACAGTGGATGCTTCGTACTACGGGGGGCGGGGTGTGGGCGGGATCAAAAGGATGGAGGTGTGTTTGGAGGCGGGGTTGTGGGAGGGGATTGTGAAGGTGGGAGGGGGCAGAATGCAGTGTGTAAACCATTGGAGTGGGCGGGGGTGGGGGGTGTGGTCTCTCTGTAGGTGCGCTGGGGCGACAAAGGCTCCACAGAGGAGGGGGCGAAACTGGAGAAGGCGAAGAACGCCCGGGTGAAGATGCCGGAGCAGGAGTATGAGCTGCCGCCCGTTCGCACGCTCAACAACGGCGCAGCAATGCGCAAACCCCTGAGCGGCAGGAAGTGGTACTCCCCAATCAAGGTACGGCCCTCCGCAACGGGGGGGGCATGGGGGGACTACTAACAGCTCTGTACAGGAAGTGGTACACCCCAATCAAAGCACAGGCCCACTACCATGGGGGAGCTAACAGCTCAGTACAGGAAATACTTTTGCTGAAGACACGATGTGTCTAAGGGAAAACGTCTGGTTAAAAACTAAATATGACAAATCAGTTTCCATTGAAATATGAGATAAATTATAAATGATCAGTGGCACATGATAAATACTTTTACATACTACCATTGTTTAAACTGTTAAAAGTATGCATGCAAAACTAGCATACAATGTACACGTCAAAGGACTTTTTTATGTCCATCACACCAGTGAGACAGAGAGGGACAGGCTGGGGAAGCATTTCAGTGTCGCACATGTGTGGCCTCATCACGTGACCGGCAAAGACAGCCAAATATGAGCAGTTTCATTCACTGCAATACAAGAGAATCCCTCACCTCCACCCAACCCCATCACACCAAATTAAAGGACAGAGATCCAGAAGCTACATCTCTCACCTGGTTACTGACCAGATCGATCTGTCCATCACAGAGAGATGGTTTTACTCGTCCCCCTCCCATCCACTTCACAAGTGACTCTGCAGAGACACACAGCACACACACATACACAGCACCCAAACATACATGCGCACACACACACACACACACACACACACACACACACACACACACAGAGCACATACACTAACACACACACACACACACACACACACACACACACACACACACACTCACACACAACACGCACACTCAACATGCACACACACACACAAACACACATACACAAACACACACACAGCTCATCACATTCCTCTTTCCAGGAGCGCTGTGTCTATCTGGGTAGGGATCTAACCAAAAAGACATGTCAGCAAGATCAAGAAGCTTCACACCAGGCTTCTGAAGCATGAACAAAAAACAATGTCCTGTTTTTCTGCTTTTTATACCACTGTTCTGTCTGTCTCTCTGACACTTTTGGTCTGTCTATATTCTAACTACAGCACATATATGCAAAACTACATGTCTAACTCTTGTGCATTTAGAATTCACAGACAGAGACAGAGAGAGAAAGATTGTGTTTTTCTGGGGAAAAGCTCTTGATCTGAACTCCAGAACCCTAGAGCTGCCTGGTTCCTATTAGGAGTTCTCCAGCTGAGAGTCATTGCGAAACAAACCCTCAGCTGAGTCCTGAACTCCATTAAGTCCAGGGGATCACTTTCACTGCAGTGAATCCTGCTGTCGCTGCACAGAGTATCTGTGCTGAATGACTGTCACTAGACACAGAGTGACTGTAGAAACTGTGCTGAGTGACAGTCACTCTGTTATGCAGTGACTCTCTGAGTCAGTGCTGAGAGTCTTTACTTTGCATTTCTGTTACACTGTAAGTGTTTCTACAGAGGCTTCAGCTTTAGAACCAGGCCTCATCCTCCTGAATAAGCCGCTCTGTCAGGTGCACTCCCCCACCTCTCTGTGGTTCTGCCACATGGAATGACATGCATGTCTGCTGCTTACCGCTGAGACCTGTGCACTGTAGCATCCCGGTGTCTGCCTGACACAATCCACAGCACCTCCAGCTGAGCCTTTACCATTAAAAACACACATTTAATGCCAGCGCTGTTTCATCTCTGTGCGGCTGCCAGATAGTGCTCCTGCACTGACACTGTGTGGCCTACCTGCCCCGGGCTATAGTGCCAGATTTATTCCTATTACCTGGAACCTGGACATGCTTTTCCATTGGGTGAAAGTAATCTTCCTCTGCAAGACTTTAAAGAAGAGAGATGTCTGCTTCCACGACACAGCAGCTTTCAGTCACTGCACATCTCTGGGACGTAGGAACACTACACCTTCTGTGTCATTGCCACATAGTTACAATGTAGCTGTATGTTGCCGTTACACAGTGACAGCTTATCGCTCAGAGAAGCAAAGGAGCATTTTATTCTACTATATTTTAATGTCATTCATTTTTCATATCTTAATATTCAGGATTTTGTTCCATTTTCCAGAGAGGAAGACAGCCGCTGCTTTGCCCAGAGCTGTTAGGGCGGCGATGATTGCCCTCCCGTTCCAAAATGAAAAGTTAACCATTTAGAACGGCTTTGTTTTCTCCCTGCTCGGGTCCAAGCCACAACACCAATTATCAATTACCCTTACAGCCTGATCCTCTGTGTGAGCTACCGGGAAAGAGAATGTGCTGAGATCTGAGGGCAGGAGCTCAAACTGCACTGAGCCAGGGGAGGCATGAGGGCTGAGCACAGCAAGAAGCAGTCTGTGTGTGTGTGTGTGTGTATCCGTGCGTGTCCATGATTGTGTGTGTGTGTATCCGTGCGTGTCCATGATTGTGTGTGTGTGTGAGAGAGACCTGCCATCTTTCTCTCTGCAGGGAAATGCATCTGTCATTGTGTATGTGCCATCTCTTTCTCTTGATCTGGCCATCTCTCTCACTCTTTCAATATACCATCTCTCTTTCTCTCTATCTGTCCATCTCTCTCACTGTCCCAATCTCTCTCTCTCTGTCACTCTCTCTCTCTTTCTCTGTCCATCTCTGGTGTAGAATGTACTGTTGATGCCCATCACACAGACTGAGCCTTCATCCATGACAGCAGGAAGGCAGGGAGTGCTAACACAGACAGTGATCCCCAAAACACCACATTCTCTGGACTGCTCCCACACATTAGACTATTACATTACATTATTGGCATTTAGCAGACACTCTTATCAAGAGCAACTTACATCAGTTACAGTTTTTACAATGTTATCCAGGTATACAGCTGGACATTTACTGAGGCAATTGTGGGTTAAATACCTTACCCAAGGGTACGGCAGCAGCAGGGAATTGAACTCGCAACCTTTCAGTCATGAGCCCTGCTCCTTAACCACTATGCTACGCTGCAGACCAAGTCTCACTAGGCGCATTCAACCCTGAGGTGCGCAGAGACAAAACCCTCAAACAAAGGCTGTGCATCTCGTAACTTAACAGCACTGGTGCTCTACACCAGCAGCACTGTGCAGATGTAAAACATTAACATTTTTCTATGTTTCACATATTCAGCCAGAAAACCCCTCCACCCCTCATCTCTGGTGTTGGCATTAATACAGCCGATGTGCAAAGGTTGAGAAAGCAGAAGTAAAAAGATGAGGCCAGGGAGCTGGGCAAAGGGACACAGAGTAGCATATCCACGGAAAAAAGTCTAATTTAAGCCAAATGCTCTCAGCAGTTGTAACCATTTCCTGAGCCTAAAACACTGCCCCAGTGAAAAGATGCTAAATTCAGCTGCTTTTGAGATAATTCAGATGGTTCAGACCTACTCTCAACAACCGGAAAACAATCGGAAAGCGTCACATTCTTTCCCTTCATGCAATCAAGACATTTAATTCTGTACTCGGCAGAACACAATGAGCCTTCTCCCATTTTTCCAGCCGTGAGGTCAGAGGCACCTGAAGAGTCTGATGAAGCTCCTCTAACTCCCCCTCATTCCCAACACCGCTCACCTCCTCCTTCATCCTGTTCCACCACCAAAGAGCCAGTCTTTGCACACAAACTGCCAAACTTACCAAAACTCTCCCAGCCCCCATCTCAACAGTGTTAACCACTTTCAGAAAACTAAACCACAACACTGTAAAGAGAGGAAATGGGAAAAGAGACAAGATAACAAAACAAAATGGAAAGAAAGAACTCTTCATGCATTCTCCCTGAAAGAGAGAGAGAGAGAGAGAGAGAGAGAGAGAGAGAGAGAGAGAGAGAGAGAGAGAGAGAGACAAAGAGAGAGAGACAAAGAGAGAGAGAGACAGAAGGAGAGACAGATCCATCCAGTAACTTCAATAATGATTAAATTATTTTTCCTTTCTCTTTCGGTTTTTTTATCTGCTATTTTTCTTGTTTTAGCAATCTGTTCTTTTTAGGAGTCTGATAGTAGTTCATAACATGGTAGGTCATAACACTAATTTGAATATAAAACCGAATTTAAGGGAGAGAAATGGAGAGAGAAACATGAGGAAGTGTCTAATCTAATCTAATAAGAGCTCGTAATATTGGATAATAGCAAGTCATTTTATGCACTTTGCATTTTTTCATCAAAAAGTATAATTTCATGTTCTAAAAAGTCCAGCCATTAAGATATTTCTTTAAAGTAAAGGATGTTGGTGATGGGCTTGGTGTGTTTGCTGTTTCCCATCAATGGCTCTGGTAATAACCAGTAATTCACCACACTCCACTTAGTCACAACACAGACAAATGCAATCCCAGAGCATCTCAGAGTTAATGTGAATATCACACATAGCTTCAGCCTTTGGAATTTCAAAGTGCTGTCTGAGAGACATGGGGCTGTGTGGGGCTGTGTGTGGCTGTGTGGGGCTGTGTGTGGGGCTGTGTAAGGCTGTGTGGGGCTGTGTGGGGCTGTGTAAGGCTGTGTGTGGGGCTGTGTGGGGCTGTGTGGCAGGGCTGTGTGAGGCTGTGGGGGGCTGTGTGAGGCTGCGTAATAATGACAGTGTGTGTGATAATGACAGTGTGTGATAATGACAGTGTGTGTGATAATGGTAGTGTGTGTGATAATGACAGTGTGTGATAATGACAGTGCGTAATAATGACAGTGTGTGATAATGACAGTGTGTTGTGTCCGGCGTGTGCTGACGCCTCTCTCCCACTGCGCTCTCTGCAGGGGAAGCTGGATGCTCTGTGGATGCTGCTGAGGAAAGGTTACGATCGCGTCTCCATCATGAGGCCACAGCCAGGGGACAAGGTGAGAAACACAGAAACACAACAACTAGAGCGGCTCCATCCCACTCGCACTGAGCCTCTTCAGATTCAAACATTCTCCCTTTTCAAACCTTCATGGAAAGGTGTGTTTAAAATTCAAATTTAACTCTTTATCCACAAGAGCTGCTATGATTCTAAACTCCTGGATCTGTGCAAATCAAATGGAATGCTCCACCAATCCATGTATTCTATATTTAGTTTTGCCCAACACACTCACACACACACACTCACACACACACACACACACACTCTTCTTCTCTCATCCTAGTTAAGCAAAAAAATAATGTAAATAATGCAATCAAAGGGAGTGAGCAGGGCATGAGAGAGGGGCACATGTGATGCCCATAGTGGCCACTCGAGGGCGCTGTGTGAGCACTGGGACACCGCAGCAGCAGGGCACAGTGGAGGGCGTGGCCGGAGCGAGGACAGGGTTCAGCTGCGGACACCGGCTCGGCTCCGGGTTCCAGGAGCCCTGCTGCTTTTGATTTGAATCGAACACACAATTCTTTCCGGAATGCATCACGTTTTCCCCCGTCCCGAGGAACAGCTGAGCGCTCGCAAACGCTGCCAGGACTGGCGTGAGAATCCAGTAAAGCGAGGGGAGGAGGCTCTAACGTCCACGCTGACCTGTGCAGGCCCGTGCAGCCGTCGCATACAGCGTCAGCGAAAAGCGCTCCAGCGTGCAAAAACACGAAAACAAACAGATCTGAGTCATGTGATGAGACGCCACGTGTGCGTGCGCGCGAGCAGTCAAGTATTTACGAGCGTGTGTGTAATTTCCTCCAGAAAGCAGTTTACTGGTTGTGGAGAGAGAGAGCAGGGAGAGTAGAGTTTTTATTAGTATTTATTTGTTTATCTGACTCTGTTTCAGGATGACGTTTGCACATCTCACATTTGACCCCTCACTCGTTTGTACAGCTTGCACGTACTGGAGCCTCTCTGGTTCAGTACCTCACTGAAAGGTAAAAACGCTCCAGTACCAATCCTCCTGTAAGCCTCATTCCCTGGATCCTCTGTAGCAGGAAGCTGCATTGCGTTTGATCTGTCAGATATTTAATCCAGATCAGAGCTTTCATGGGTTCGGATGAGGAGAGGGACGAGTCAGCACTTTTGTGGAATGCGCTCGGCAGAGTCACACAAACAGATAGCTCTCTGCTCCACTCCTGTTTTGAATCTAGAGAATCCACTCCAGCTCGATGCTGCCCCAAGTGGTCAGGGTGCAAAACTGCACTGCCCTCTGCTTCAGTGTTCGCAGCCCATTCGGAGCTGCTGTTTCAATCAGGGAAGACTCAGGCTGCAGAGCTCTGTCTCATCTGATTTTTGTCCCATGCTGAGAGCCGTAGATTGCCATTGTTGACTCCCTTCCAGCCCTGCATGAGTTCAGTCATGAGGGGTAGTGCTGGCTTGGTCTGGACCCTGCAGATTTGAAAGACCTCCACGGGTGAAACTCATTCTCACCCTGTTCCAGCAGTGTTCTGTCACATCATTCTGAGCAGACACCAGCGCCCAGGGTGTCTGATAGCGCTCGGCGTCTTCCAAACTGCGCCACAGGTTCGTACAGCTACATCTTTACTGCCCCTCCTGAGGCAATGAACAGTACCTTACTTCAGTGTGCAACTGCGAGGTCTCACCTGAGACTACACCCCTGAAAGAGTCCCGAGAATCTGCCTGTAGCCACCACACTGCCACGTGCACACGGCTTCAGGAGGGCTACATAAATACAGTTCAGCACATATTTTGACAGGTATTATTTATGTACCTTATATCCTGTGTTTCTTATGGTCTTGTATACAGCCATAAAGTGTGCTTTCATAAGGAAACTTTACGACTCTCCTGAGGGTTTCACTGTGAAACCAGCCTCACATGCCTGCAGCCAGGGCATCTGCCCTGAGCACAGCATATTACCATTCCAGCTCCTGTAGCATCACCTCCCGACCCTGTGATCCAAACCCAAATTCTGACCCGCTGTACTCCAGTACTGCCCTGAGAACTTGGAAAACATTGTGAATGTATAATACTGCATATATACATATATATACACACGCTTATATATTTATATACACACACACTCACACACACACAGACACATGCACACTTATAGCAATACAGACTGGAATGTATCCTCTTTTTCCCCGTGGGTTTGCCGAGGGGTGTAAATCTCCTTCTCCTGCCCTTTAGTTCCTGCTCCTGTGGATTTTTTTTCATGGATTATATTATAAATTAAAATATGAACAAACAGAGAGAGAGATAAAGGTGGGCTGTGCTGTCCTGCCCAGCGGGTCTGCCCCGCTGCGGGACGGGGAGACAGCGGCTTTTTAACGCCAGCTGGAGGACCCCGGTGCGTCCGTGCCAGACACCTTTTCATGAGGACACAGCGTTCCTCATGCTGCCGTTCAGATGAAAACAAATCAACGCTCTGGCACAAGCCTCTGATTCACCTCTGAGCTTTCACTTAGACGTTACATTTGCAGCTCCATGAATAGATTTATAAGCTCCTGTGAGAGCTATCAGAGGTCACAGCAGCGCACTGGGAGCACACTGCCCCCTGTCTGACCGCAGCGCAACTGCAACTTCCAAACCTCAATCACAGCAGTCAGGCCACCCATTTCACCCCATGTGGAGCCAGAAACGGAGGACTTGCCACACAGCACTTTACAAAGGGCACTGCAGTGAGGGCAAGGTGAATCAGAACACATACCGTTACAGGAGTTTATTCTGATTGCCCTTTGCAAGTAATCATTTTCCAGGAATCAGTTTTTAAATGTCTTCAATCACTTTCAAAGATTTTTAAATTATTATGCCCTCTGGAAACAGTGCACTGTAATGATCTCTATGGCAATCGATGAAGGGAACTAATCCATTACATTACATTCATAAATAACATATCACAGTGAGAGTCGATCAATCGATTGATTGATTGATTGATTGATTGATTGACTGACTGATTGATGAATTCATTGATATAAGATTGAAGCTGGAATTGACTGAGAGGAGAAGGAGGAGATGTGGCGCAGTGGCAGGCAGAGGCATTCCAGTGCAGCAGCTTTGTGAACGGGCCCAGCTCTGAGACGGCACCTGGCTGTACATTACTGCTGTGTAAGATTATGTCTGAAGAGGACAATACAGGCAGACAGAGAG